TTGTGGATTGGTGCCGTCGCAATAAGCTCATCATCAGCGTTCGAAAGTGTGCAGTGATGACGTTTCACCACTCTAAGAGTTCAATCCTTTACGATTACTGCATTGATAATGTAACGCTTCGCAGAGTAGAACACGTATGACTGATCTTGGTGTTCTTTTGGACCCAAAGTTGACCTTCAATCTTCACTTTTCCTCGATCATCTCTAAGGCGATTCGTCAACTGGGATTTATTTCGAAGATTGCACAAGATTTCAAAGACCCTCACTGCTTGAAGGCACTATATTGCTCTTTAGTTCGGATCATACTTGAGAATGCATCTGTGGTCTGGTTCCCCTATGAGCTAGTGTGGAATCTCCGAATGGAACGTGTTCAGAAAAGATTTTTGAGGTTGGCTTTGCGCAGCCTGCCGTGCCGCGATCCAATGAATTTACCACCATATGCAGACCGATCCATGCTATTGGACCTGGTCACATTGGAACACAGAAGAAAAACACAACAATTTGTAGCGAAACTTTTAAATGGCGATGTGGACTGCCCTCAATTGCTTTCACAATTAAACTAACGTGTTCCTCAAAGGATGTTGCGGCAATCATCCTTACTACAACCTCCTGGTCAAACCGAGTGAAATATCTTGGATTAGTACTTGACCAAAAATTAACTTTTGAAGATCACGTTGAGGGCATTCAAGCCAAATGTAACAAATATTTAAAATGTTTGTATCCTCTTATAAACAGGAAATCCAAACTTTGCCTGGCGAATAAACTTCTAATATTTAAACAAGTTTTTAGACCGGCCATGCTTTACACTGTGCCAATATGGTCTAGTTATTGCACTACCAGGAAAAAAGCACAAAGTTCTGAAGATGATTTTGAAGTTGCTTCCCTGGTACAATACTACTGAAGTACATAGAATTTCGAATGTTGAGGCTTTAGCACAAATGTCCAACAAAATAATTAATAATTTCAGGCAAAAATCGTTGTAATCCTCAATTTTTTTTTCAATTCCCTTTATACCTAAATAAGATTTAGTTTTAGTTTTTAGTTTTTAAGATTTCAATTGTTATTCTGACATGCAGGTTTTTAAAAAAAAACATGTTTAAAATACTGAATTGCCAAGGCAGGAACAATGTAAAAACACATAGATATATATATCATAACAATTAAGGCTGGTAAGTTACTGTAGTAACTGGAGCACCTAGGTTAAAATGAAATGTAATTTATTTTGAATTTGGAACAAATAAAGAGTTAAAAAAAATAAATCCTTACTACAACCAAGATTCAATCGGACTGCATATGGATACCATGAGCCAATGTCTGCGATGATTCGGGCATTCTCCTCTGCAGAAGAAGTATTTGAAATAAGAGAAACATCGAACCAATTTCGAAACCGATTGAGAAGATTGTGACTATTTTTTTAATCTGTTTATCTGTTGCTGTTTTGTGTATTATCTAAGTTTTATTCATTAAGACAACTACTGTCAGATGAATTACAATAAATAAATAAATAAATAAATAACATAAAATAAATACTACTTGAAAATTCAACTATTGTATACACTCTAGTATAGATTGCTCGGTAGCTCCCGATCAGAAAGGCATAACAAAATTAGAACAACTGGAGTTATTTATGTAACAAAAAAAAATGTAACAGAACGTGTTATAAACATTGGCTGGTTAGTTGTTAAAATAACAAAAATCATAACACAAATTCGTCTAGTGGTAACAAAATTATAACAGATCTTGATATGATTATATCAAAATTATTATTATTAAATAAATTATTATCGCATTCAATAATTTACATATATAACAAACGTTGTTATAAATAAGATATAAAATTTGCCATATTTCTGGTAATGGTAATGTAATTTATTTTTCACTTTTTTTTTTAATCTAAGTCAATTGGAATTCATCAACTTTTTAATTAATTAATTAATTAATTAAGAGTAATTTTCCTGGCTTCTTTTTCCATAATATGCCAGAACTCGTTTCATAATGTGTGGAGCTTCATCAGCCAAAGATTTTGCAGCAGCTGGTTTGTCTCCCTGATAAATGCGGAGTTCCAACAACCGATCTGAGAGAAAAAAAGTTGTTTTAGTAATTCTGAATGAATGAATGGCTTGGTTGCCGTCGTTCGTGGTCTTCCACTTGGGTTGTTAGAGGATCTTCCATCAAATCATGAGATTCCTATGGTGATGGAATTTTATTTATCATCTGGTTCAGAAGCGTCTATTTCGGATTGCATTAATTCAAGGTAGACAAGACTGAGAACATCCTATCTTTTTTCAGGACCCTTCGAGTTACGATCAATCGGCAAAACTTCATGACAACATTCGTGTCAAAGACATAATGTTTATGGCACTTAATTTTTACATAAGACACAAGCTTACCCAAGGAGGTTTGGAAGACTTTATGAAAATGTTGAATGTGTTCACGATAGGCAAAACTTTTCCTGAAAGCTATATCACTTTTTTTTCCCAGCTCCGAAAGGGTTTATTTTTGTGTGAATTGTCATGATGGGTATGTCGTCTTCTTATTCGATAATGACAGCACACTAACAACCTATTTTACTTTAAGATATGAAGCTACTCCACAACCTGAACCTCTAGCCCTGTGGAAAACTGTGGATCAATTTAAACGGACTTTTTGGTTAGTTTTCCCAAAGAGCAGCAAATCAGATAATCTCTTTTGAAATACTCCAAAAAAATAGCTGAATACTAGACACCGGTTATTACTGAAGAAATTCGCGTTATAAGCCGATAATCAATCTTTTTTTTTTTCAACAATCATTCAAAATTTTTATCATTTCTTACTTTTTATACACAGATGCATCTAATGATCGTCACTTAGAAACAGGAAATAGTGAATAAACTTATATTTTGGAATCATTAATACATATTTTATGTATTGATAGTAATTAAAACTGGCTTTGTTATAAATCTGATATGATGAGAAACTTCGCACAAACCCCTTTTCACTAATATATCAAAATATAACACACGTTGATATAAATATCAACCATTGATATAATTGTGTTATTATTTTGTTATGCCCTTCTGATCGGGTAGGCTAGAGGAGATAAAATCTTCATTGAGCACCTTTCACGATAGAGGACAGGAACCATCAACTAAATATTTAAAATTAAGTATAGTAATACACTATTTGGGAAATAATATTTGCATCAAATAAGTTGTGTTTGAAATTGTGCCTTTTGGATGCTAATTTTGACAGTAAAATCTTGTAAAATTTCAGATTATTTAATCGCTGGAAATTTAAGACCTTTCAGTTTGACAATGTTCAGCGATTAAAAAAAAATGGTTGCAAGGATTTCAATAACTTCTGAATTTCACTTAATGATCGTTTGTGAATATTCAAAAACAGTAGTCCAGAAATTTATAACGATCTTAAATTGCTTACAGAAAAAAAGAGATCTACTATGAGTGGATTGACCTGCACTGCGGCTTCTGTGCTCCTCCTCACAAAGCGAAAGTAGTAATTTTCAAAACCACATCTTGCGTGACATCCATATAATTATAGCAAGCAGCATATATCGCATAGACGTTTACTTGGAGATCCAACCGGATAGGAATTCCCACGTTCGTCTCCGTCTCCGAACAACGTTAGAAGAAAAGTGGCCTTGTAATGTGACCTACCGGACGACCTGTCCCGTGTCGTAATTATGCGCTGAACTGGTCATCAATTTCCTAATACCGAAAACAAAAAACCCACGCGACAATCGGACGCCATCGCGAGCATTTTTTTTCTCCAAAGTGGAATTACAAATGAGCACTATAAGACTTCTGTTCTGCCATCCTTAGAACCTTTGGTCTTTTGCTGTTGAGCGACCATGAAAAAGATCCTACGTCCATGATCGAGTCAGCAAACCACGAGATAAAGCCAACGATCAGCACCAGGGGTAGCGAAAAATTAAAATTGCAAATAACAATCACCGGGCTTCTTCCGGATCTCCCCACTGCTGGCTGCTGCTGCTGCTGTCGTTCGAACATCGTCGTCGGGAAAATTAATTAACCATCTCCCTCGATAATGAAAACAGCACCCGGGCACGCGAGATCTCACGACGATGGAAGATGGAAGGTCCTTTCCGTGATCCAAGTGATCAGCCAACGAACGGACCGACCCGGGACGGATCCGCCTCCGCAAACAAGGGTTCAATACAAATTTTTGCCTGTCTTGCTGTCGCATTGCCTTCTGGCCGGGCTGCCCAGGACAGACCCCCAGAAATTTATGAAACAGTTAACAGAGGATAATTTATGGATATTATTCCCGAATACCTTGCTGTTGGCTCTTGGCGTGGTTTCCGTGCCGTGTGGAATGATGTCGGTCGGTCGATCGGCATAGGTGGTGGCGTGTTCAGGAAGCTGAAACGGAGCTTTTCTTCTTTGTCACCTCGTTTGTTGTTGTTGTTGGTTTTCTTTTTACAGCTTTTGACAGCGATGGTGGTGGCACGGAAGCTGATCACTTGCTTTGTAATTTTTCGTTGCAGTTTACAATTTAATGGAACACTTTCACAAATTCAATTCCAAAACACTAAATGAGCAAACCGCTCCAAACGAGTATGTTTCCCCATCTATAGCAATCGACAATTAAAATGCACAAAAACAATACACTTACGGCTTAATTTCAGAATTTCCCAACTCAATTCATTCCTCTCATCAGCTCACACGTATGGCCACCGCTTCTGTTGTCGGCTTCGCGAACAAATTAGAACCGTTGAATAATTGCCGTTTCTAAGTGGCCAAGAAATTAATTTTTCAATTACAGTTCTCCCGCTCTTTCTCTCTCTTACTATTTGCTTGGGCTCGAAGCTTTGCATTTTTTTACGTCTGTGCTACATCATCAGTAGCAACACGAATGCGCACAAAAAATCGCATCATTTCTCCACATGACTTCGCGACGCACGTCTCGACGTCGTCGTCAGCAGCGAGAAAAGTGTTTACCATAATTAATATTTCTCCCCTTCTCATCAATTCTCATCAACAGGACGAGCAGCATCCATCGAATGGGGCGGGCGACGCACACACGGCACATCATGGCGGTAGCCGATTGCAGCAGCTAACAGGTCCTCCCGGCAGCGGAGCTGGCATGGCCAGCCACAACACGTCCGGACTGCCGGGGCTTCTCGGTCCGCAGAACAACAGCAGTCTGACGCAGGCCGGACTGGAAGAGTACAGCAGGTCATACTACGAGCAAACCATGTACCACCACCAGAAGCAGTCGTCCTATGCCCAATCGGAGGGCTACCACAGCTACGTGTCCAGTTCGGATTCCAGCTCGACGCCGTTTCTCGATCGGTGAGTTTCCTCTTTGTATTTCCCTTTACACTCGAATGGGAACTTGTTTCCCACCTGCCCAGCAGCAGCATCACCTGCAATATCATCTTCGTTTTTATTGCCAGCTTTATCTAGGCTCGGTGATCTTGTTTGTGCGGGCAACTCCGCAGCTGACACCGATCATTACAAGTCGGAACATTCTTGCAAATTGGACGTGATTCTTGCACTCCATAGAACACACAGTAGTGAATAGTGGGCTACGACGACGACGACGGCGGCAGCAAACATGATCATAAATCTGCGTTAATATGAGTTCTCTGTGTGTTAATGCAGCCATTTGGGTGATCGTGCGGTTGCATGAGGTTATTTGCATACAAGGCTGTAGGAAATGGGCAGGTAAATTTGCGGGAAATATATGTATCGACCGATAAGCGTCGTCGGCCAAATGGGTGAGTGGTTTCTGAATTGTACAGATCGTTGTTCAAATAAATGAATGCTGCTCAGGGGGGATGGAATGTAACCGTTACTGTTTTTTTATCGCAATTGGACGGTGGAATTGTAAGCGGAATAATACAATGTTGCACTCTGGTCTTACTCAGGGCATCTTAGGGACAATGTTGTTCGAAATCAGATGTGAGATTTGAATCAACATTGTTGCAAGCCGTTTTTTATAATTCTTTGAATAGATATTCTTAATTCCAGTACAATATAAACAATTGAAGAGGGCTTATCAGGTTTAGTAAACAATATTTGTAATGCCCTTTTCGTACGAACCGAAGCTCGCCTACGCAATCAAACAACAGTACTGGGATTGGTCGAGAAATGTAAGCATGGGTTTCTCAATATAAGAGCTTCCATTCCAGGATGTTCCGGGATGAAAAATCCCGGGATTTTGACATTTCCCGGGATTCCCGAATCCCGGTTATATGAATTTATAAATCCCGGGATCCCGTGCATTCAGGGATTTTTAATTTGATACACTTTTACTCCTTTAAATTTTTCTTGGAATATGTGTAGTAGGATTTGAAACCAGAAATTTAACGTCCTATGAAATATATCTCTTCCCTTCGTTTGACATTTATTCTGATTTATTGAAAGTAATATAGACAACACTTCTTGAAAAATACAACCTAGCAGTACAACAAAGCGTGAATATTTTGTTCAAATTTTATAATCGCGTATCTGGATGGTACATATACGAAAATCAGGTTGAGCGTCGTGCGATGTCCATCATTCATAGTTGATCGACAAACCATTGAAATACATTGTTCAGTCTTTTAGAAGTACGTTATTAAGCTAGTCCCGAGTGATGAAAAGACTTAGCATTTGCAGTTTTTAGAGTTCTTTCTTGGACTAGCTAGCGGAATCTTGTTGAATGTTTACTCCTTCCGGAGGAACTTTCATCTGTCACCGACTTCTATCTTGGCTTCCCTCTCTGTTATTTCCTTAAGTTCACGGGCAAGCATTATCTTTACCCATTTGCATATCCAATCTACGTAATCATAGAGCACGGCAAAATAGTTTTTACAAATATATTCATGAGAGACATTATCCACCATAATCATCATGATCTTCATAGACTATTGTGAAATTTGGTGGTCAAACATAATTCGTTGAACATTAGACATCTTCGTGGAAGTTTAGGGAACTACGTTGAAATTATGGATTTTGACGTAGGACTACGTCTTTCATTTCTATATGGGGGTACACTTTGTGAAAACCAAAAATGAAACATGAAACAAAATTATGAAAGATTTTGAACATTAATAACTCAACTGCCCCTGGACCAATTTCAATAATTTTTCACTAATCGATCAGAAATATTTCTACGCATCTTTAACAACTGATGATTTTTAACAAGAAGCTATTGAAAAAGTGGTAATGTCAAGCGTTGTTAAATGTACACATAAACAATGATAATTTTATCGCTGTTAAACGTTCTTCCCAAACCCAGTCCTCATAGTCGAGTACCACATGGTTGCACATCATTCTGCTTTAACCTGAAAAGGTATAAAGCAGCACTGCTGTCTGGCATCTGCCCTTTTTTGCTTCGGACGGCGTGGATAGCAATAGCAGCAGTAGGAAGGTGGTGGCTAGTCCACTCTTGTACAACACAACAAGCAACAATTGACTGGTCGTGGCAAAGGAGGTGCCAATCGTAATCGCAAATTCTTCGAGATAACCACCTGCCGTCGTGGTGGCGGTGTCTGACGTATCTTCGGTCTGATCTACGAGGTGTGCTGAAGTTGTTTTTTTGAAAAATGAGATCCGTGATGCTATCACCTACACTAAACACGCCAAGCGATGTCATCTACGTTTCGAAGTGACAGTGACGCACTCTGTTTCGGAGGTTAAATCATCACCAACTTTGGCAACAAAACGGCCCTTTTCAGGGCCACCAAGCTCATTACAGTAAAGAGTAGGAATAGAATTCATCTGGCTGTTTGTCCATCTTTAGAACCAAACGCCTCCAACGACCACACAAAACTCCTCATGTAACCAAACTGGAAGCAGGGGTACAAATGATTTTGATCAACTTTGATCGCGATTGAACCCACGCCTGCTGTGGTGAGAGGTATTCACGCTTACCACTACACAACCGGCGCCGCTAACTTTCCAGGTACATACATTGGCAAACTGCGCAAAAGGAAAGGAGCCAGTGTTGCTACTTGATAGCAAACTACTCATGATGGGAGGAGTCTTTGTAGCTTGCACATCATTCTGCTTTAACCTGAAAAGATATAAAAAAGCGCTGCTGTCTAGCCTCAACTCATTTTCGCTTCGAACGCCGTGGTGAGCAGATAGCAGAAGCAGCAAAAGCAGTCGTCTGGCTCGCCGTGGCGGTTTCAAACGTGTCTCCGGTCTGATCTACGAGGTGTGCTGAAGGTGTTCTTGGAAAATATGATCCATGATGCTGTCACCTATACTGAACACGCCACGGCCATCGATGTCGTCTACGCTTTGAAGCAACAGACGAACTCTGTACAGTTTCGGAGGTTACTTCATCACCAACTTTGGCAACAAAACGGCCCTTTTCTGGACCAAAAAGCTTATTGCAGTTAAAAGTTAGAATAGAATTTATCTGCCTGTTGGTCCATATTCAGAACCACATGCCCCCAACGACCACACAAAATGCTCTCCAGAGTTGTAATCTAATCATCAACTTTCTCTTTGAAAAAAAAAAAAAAAAAAAAAAAAAAACTACAAATTTGGTACAAATCAAAAACGGAAAGAGTTAACATAAGAGATGATCGATCAATTAAAAGAACTAAATTTTCTTCACATTTGTTCCGTGCCCTAGCAGTGGTCCTACGTCAAGCTTCCGTTCGTGCCCCTAGGCAACTACTTTTTTTAGAAGTGCTACAAATAGGAGTTCAGTTAACTTTGAGAAAGCTCAGTGAATTTGGTACAACTTAAGTTCTACGAAGAGTGCAGAGAAGTTTGTTGAAGTTAAGCGTGACTGCCTCTCACTCCAAACGGTCTGGGTTGAATCGCAGTCGACACCGTCGGGATTTTCTGAGACATAAAATTTCTAATTACGCCTAGTAAAGCCGTTGGTCCCCGGACCACGAGTTGATGGGTCGATAGGTAGGGTCCAGGTGTGGAAGATGGCTCCCTGGCGTCGGTAGCATTGGAACTCAGTATGGAAAACAAGATCGACGGAAAATAAATCGAGGAAAACAAAAGTTTGTTGAACTTCAGCAAATTTTATAGAAATTTAGCAAACTTGAAAGAAAATTCGAAAATATTGTAGAAACTCGGAGAACTTCGGAATATTCTTAAATTCCAGCGAACTTTGTAAAATTTCGGCAACTTTATCGATGTTCAGGAGACAGCGTAGTCATTCAGGAAATTGAAGAGAAATGCGGAGAACTTCATAGAGCTTCCGAGAATGTCGTAGAAACTCAGACAGCTTTGTTAGAATTCGGGAAAACTTTATATAAGTGTAAACTTCTGCTTGGGGAACTTTGTTGAAGTTTAGGGAACCTTGTTTCATTTCAGGAAACTTCATAAAAGTGTTCCAGGACCTGCTCTTAATTGCATTTCGCTAATAATTTTTGTATATTTGTTAGCTTAAGGAATTCCGTCGAAGTTCAGAAAACTTCGCAGAAAATCATAGAAATCCCTAAATGAGAAGTGAACTTTGTTAAAGAGAATGTATTAAAGATAAAAAAAAACAATTAATACAAAAAAAAACATGTTAAAGATCAAGGAACTTCGAAAAATTTCGGAAAACTTTTTAGAGGTTCGGCAAAATTTGTAGAAATTCGGCAAACTTTCAGCAAAGTTCAGGAAATTTTTTAAAAGTTAAGAAAATTGCTTAGATGCTCAGGAGATAAAGTAGAAATTCATTAAACTTCTTAGAACTTCTTCGTATCAGTTTAGGGTACTGTGTTACTTTGGGAGCTTTGTTTCGCCAGTACGTTCAGGGAAATTCATAGAAAAGGATCAGGTTCTTCCCGGAAGTTTGAAGAAGTTGATGGATGTTTTGAGACCGTAGCAAAAATTATGGATCTTAAGAAGTTGAGACATTTTTTTAAGTTAAGGGAACTTTGTAAATGAACACAAAACATTGTACAGTCAAGATTCCTATAGTACGGATACGTTCTTGCCAGATTCCTATAATACGGTTGCCACTGGATACCTAGAGTACGGTCGATCCGGCATTAACGAATACACGTAGCAATTGACCACTTTTACGGATGTTCCGGATTTTTCGGTGGACCATCCCGTGGTCCCCTGGGTCCATATTCAGGTCAAAACTTCGAATTCATTCTGATAAGACGTCTATGAGCGTCAGAATCAGTTTCATGAAATGACCACTTTCACGGATGTTCCGGATCATCTAGAGGGCCATACCGTGGCGTCCAGAGTCCATAATTGGATCACACCCCGAATTCATTCTGATAAGACGTCTATGAGTGGTTTCAAAAAAACCACGGGGCTGTAGGATCAGTTTCATGAATTCACCACTTTTACAAATATTCCGGATCTTCCAGAGGACCATACCGTGGTCTCCA